TATATATATATATATATACACGTTATTTTTCTTGCTTTGCTATTTGTACTTCTCTGCTATCCGACTAGTAGTTAAATAGTAATATGTTGTAATAATTTATCTTAGATGTTAAGCTACTCTAAATTACAGTGTTGGAACCATTTAAAAGTCTTTCTTTGGTGACTTGATATAGTTAGGGAAGTTTATATGTTAAAACTATTGCATGTACTGATGTCACACTTTTCACATTGGTGTTAAAGCATGAAGCAAACAACTAATTTTTATGTGGTTTTTAATAAGTTCCATTCTATTCATTTTATTATATTAGTCTCATTAACAATATTGGTTAAAATGTGTTTTCTGTATTTTATTATGAGGATTATTTTGGGTTATTAGCTTAGTATATGGATTTAGCAATAACTTAAATTCCTTAAGCTGATCCACACTTGTGAGATATTATTCAGATTATAAACTAAAATATCGCTAATCATGAGGGTATCCAAGTGAAGAATGATTGCACTCTAATCGTTACAAGTTTTTATAATATTACTTTGCATACATGTAATAAGAAAACTATATTAAATTATCTGTACTAATTACTGGATTAATCTTTAGTTTTGTTCTGTGTAGATAGCTTGAAGTTAATGATGAATATAAACAACTTTTTCTCTTTCTTTTTTTTTTCATGTTTGTCTACCTAAGCCTTTGATAATATTAACTGGCTTAAAACAAAGAGTCTGCAAAAGTATTTATAAGTGGTTGTTTTTTTAACTTGCTATTTATATTTTCAGTATATAACAATTCAACCCTGAATAATATGATTTATAATTATTTTTTATTATTAAATATAAAGTTGAAAAGCTGAACAAAATTATTGGAACATTGTAGAATGTTTTTTACACGATTGAAAAGTTGGATGTTTTTACTCTATTACTACTACTACATACATACACATATTGTGAGAGTGAAATGATATTGAAGAGTCTTATTACTTACATCATGCTTTTTGATTACTCTTTTTTTTTTTCTGCTATCCCATTTGGATTTCTTGCCATAAGTTTCCGGATTGGAAAGGTAGGGAGTTTATAACTTAAACTTAAGTTTGAAATACAAGATGTTTTATGTTTTTTTTTAAATCCACAGAGATAAGTGGAATATGGAATTATGCACAATTTCAGAAAATCAAAACACTTTTTAATGATGAGAAAAATATTCACTTCTTGGTATTATTTTAAAAGTATGTCTTCATCTTTGTCCAAAACAGCAAGTGTAAAACACAGTGATAAGAATCATATATACTAGTTAAAGAATATGGAAAGAAAAACAAACCAGTTTGGGATTTTAATTGTGACTATTAAACAAAGATTCCAGATATATGTCCATAGTGTTTGCCGCTATTTTATGTGGTATATACGTTTAGGTTTGTATGGTGGCATTGTACTGTTCTATATCTATGTTAGAGTATAAAATAGACTATGATAAATAAGAATACAAACTTGACCAAAACTCCAGCAGCCAAAAGCATTTCATACAATATAACCCAAATGAATGTAAGCTTTTTCTTTAAAGAAAAACAAGTATAGACATAATATTATCACAAAAAACAACACCACACACTCTTAGCTTTTTATTATACAGTAGTACTTTTACTTATTTAATTAAAAATTTTATATATCTGATCTTACTATAAAGCAGATAGGGACAGCTACAATAATCTTCTTGTGAAATTTCCATATTCTGTCCCTGTAACAACTAGTAGTGGAAACAGTAAACTTAAGGGAAGGATCTATATATATTTAATTGATATGGGCTGGCTTTGAGGATGTGTTTAGATTTTAGTTAGTAGAGGTGACAGCCTTGAGGGGCCGACACGACCCTTGTTGTTCTTAAATATTTTGTTAATATTTCACCATGATAGCTTTATAAATGTTCTCTGGATTTCTGAGTCATTTTTATTTTATTAATCATCAGTACCACATTAATTATCTTTGCAAAAACCTAAGTTATTGTGGATGAAATAACATAGTTTTGTGAGTAGTTAAAACTATGTTATAATATTTATTGAATTAAATTAACCAAAATTCAACTAATTGATGTTGAAGTAAGATGTATGGCTTTGTGTAAGCATTATATTTATATATATATAGACCCTTCAAATTCATCTTAGTGAAATATACAAGATACATCTAGCCAGCATTGTACAATATTCATGTAGCTACAAGGTATTTTATGGTATAATATGTGTATATGCACTGGATATTACTGATGTAAGATATATAGTTACTATAGGATAGTAGTATTAAAAAATGCATGTAGCTACCCTTGATATTACTGATACAGGATACGTGTACATACTATGGATATTACTTTTACAATGTTCAAGTAGTTGGATGTTACAAAGTTTAAATGAACAAACATGTCCAGTAGGGTTTGCCAAATTAGCTTACAATGTTTTGTTTATTTTACCATAAAGTATTTATAGCAGATACGTTTTCTCACACCAGTAATATTTATGGTAACCACATCTACAATACCTAGTAATACCATAGTAGCTACATTTTTGTATATTGTTCCAGTGAAAGCATGTAATATTTCAAAATCAAATTACAAAGATTATGTAAAGTTAGCCATAAAATCAAACAAGTTAGATATTTGTGAAGTATTTAGACAAATTATCTTTTTTTTGTTGTTTTTTTGGCCAAATCATCTTAGTGATGGTAGTTTTTATGGCGAAGTGGAAAAGAGTTCAGTAATGAAAAACTGTGAGATTTCTGACTTAAGTATTCATTTTAAATGGTCCCCCAGTGGCACAGCGGTATGTCTGTGGACCTACAACGCAAGGTTGTTATAGCACAGATAACCCATTGTGTGGTTTTGTGCTTAACTTCAAACAAATAAACTATTGCCCCCTAGTGACACAGCGGTATGTCTGCGGACTTACAACGCTAGAAACCAGGTTTCGATACCTGTGGTTGGCAGAGCACAGATAGCCCATTGTGTGGTTTTGTGCTTAACTTCAAACAAACAAACTATTGCCCCCCAGTTGACACAGCGGTATAGTCTGCGGACTTACAACGCTAGAAACCGGTTTCGATACCTGTGGTTGGCAGAAGCACAGTATAACCCATTGTTGTGGTT